AGAGTGTTAATATTAATATCCCCTACAATAACAATTTTTGCTTCCGATATTTGAACAAAAGTTTACAAAGTAGTAGTTCAGAATTGTAAAAAAACGATTCAAAATGCCTTTTTTGTGGCAGTTAATGCTCGGTAGACACTAAAAATTATGAAGTTTTGTAGAGGAATCGATATGGATCAGCACTCAAAATGAATATTAGCTGTATTCTTATCATTACAAATGGATTTTTATATATGCTATCCCTTTTCTTAATTAATATGCAGGTATCACCTCTTCTTTTATTCCTTGAGTAATACGCTACAAGCTCGTAATTATGAAAATTATAATTATTTTCTCGCCGTTTATTATAAAAGTCTCGGTGAAACGTAGCACATCAGGGCACAAATCACACTCAAGTTCCGTTAACGCTATCTCGATAAGTTCCTTTTTAGATAGCAGTGAATATTTTGATTTAAAATAACAAATTAATTTAGATTTCTATTTGGCACGAAAAAAATCATGTATGGTACTTTCTTGTTAGGCGATTTTATAACAATGTTTGAAACGTTTTTTAAGCTGTGAAAGTAAAACGGTATTGTAACATTGCCTTATATATTACTATCGTAAATCATTGTATTGTACCCTTTTTAATAATCTGGTGTTGTTATTATTTTTAGTTGAATTTCAAATAAGGATAAATTATTTGAAATACAACTTTTGCACTTGAGATTCTTTATTTTGGCCATTTAATATGTATTACTGTTCGTATTTTATGTAGTTTATATCTATATTTAATTTAAGGCTGATTTCATGAAGACGTAATGTTCTATTTTGGTAACTGTAACTATTGAATACATGGTCATTATTTATAAAAGTTTTTGTAAGTTTTTACAATGAAATAAATTTTATTTTTGGACATTTAAGTATTATTACGCTGTACACTTAACAGAAATATTTTAAATTCTCTCAAATTACATAAGGCATAACATATATTTGTTATTATTTCGTAGGGATTTTTATGATTGGAATCTACTGATAAAATATATCATCTTGAGTTAGACTCGTCTAAATTGTTGCAACTTTTTATTACCTGTGAGCTTGGTAAAAACGGTTTCACCATTCCACAAACGTTATAAATATTTTTCGATTTTCCGGACCGCTGATGTTTCGTTTTTTCTACTAGGTCTCGTCCTCGTACTTGTTCGTCGCCAATTATGTGAATATTTTTCCTCTTTGTTTTATTATGGCGGCTAGTGCATGGGTGGAAGACGTGTTTACGTTTCGATTATTCGGGATGCTTAAATCATTGAGGTTCTCAACCTAGTTTGATGTGTTAATCTTAGATGGAATCTCAGATGGTAGTGGACAGCGTTAAGGTTAGAATGAAATCCCGTGATGTAGCACAAATTCACGGATAGCGTGACAGGGGTCGCCTTGGTCTTATTGCTCCGCTTGTCGTCTCGCTTGTCTCGGCAGTTTTAGTCGCGAGCGAAATTATGCCTAGAATACGCGTGGCAACCTGAGCACCCACTCTCAGGAAGAGTAGGGTAGCTTGGGCGTGGATGCTCAACAAGGGATTCTTCATCATCAGGGTTGTCGGTACCTACCTGTGGTAGTTTTTATTTGGTTCCGCTACCATGTTAATGGGTGGGGGGATTAGGACTCTGGAAACCAGCGCTTACCAAGCGAAACGACCATGCGACATATTACATATCACTAACATTTAAGCCAGCGCAAGTACTTATTCTTCTGACTTGCTTAACAGAAAACAATATTTAAGACCAGACGAGAGGTGTAGCTTACGGCTTGAATCTATTACTTATACTCTCTAGGCTCTATACTATTTCTCATAAATCTGACTGTAATATACACAAATAATTTTTCAAATCGGACTGGTAGTTTAGTTAGAGATTAGCGTATTTAAACACTTAACTTTGATGTCGCCTCTACACGTTGGCCAACACAGTGGCGAATGGAGTGGCGAATATATTGGCCGAGAGTTGGTGACGGCGTCCACACGTTGGAAGGTCGTTCAGTTTACCTCGGTTCGGTCCAATGTGCGGACGAATTTATAAGCACCGTGGCGCAGTGGCTCAGCAATGAGTGGCTGCGCCGGGCGCCGCGGGTTTCATCCCGCACGGAACAAGTATTTATATGTCCTACAAATAATTGTTTCGGGTCTGGATGTGTGTCCTTGTGCAATTTATGTTTGTAAACTGCCTGTGCGATACGGGAGAAAATCCTAGTGTGGGGTTAACGTTTTTACAAAAGAATTATAAAATAATAGTGATTATTAATGGGGCTGTAAATAGATATACGATGTACGATTAGCTTTATATATTCTTTACATGCATCATAAACTGGAATAAATACCATTAATAAGAACTTAACTTATTTTAAAGTTAAGGAGTTATAATCGATTAGTCTATGATTTAAAATTGGGTTTTGATTTTAAAGCAAAATATGTACTTGCATTTCTATCAGACATTTGATGTATGTAAAAACACCTTATAATTTATTTGGTAATTTAATTATTTTTTGAGAAAGACAAAAACAATAGCAATAAATATAATTAACACTGACTTAATAATAGGTACTAATTATAACTTAGAACATAAATGAAAAATTCATGACGAGCAAAGTGGCTCAGGAACATGCTTTGCGGCAGTCTGTGGAGGAGGATGTTCAGTAGTGGACTTGTGAACAGCTGTAATGATGATGATGATTTGAAATCTTGCACGATTAAATTATAAGAAATCGACGTTTTTTTTATAGAATAGTGTGACAAACGAGCACACAGTGCACCTGATGGTAAGTGGTTACTGTGGCCCACAGATATCTACATCTATCCTCGATTACGAATCAAAATGCAAATGCGTTGTCACCCGTGAGGACTAAGATGATATGCCTCGTTTCCTTTCAAAAGTGTCTCTGTTTCTCTACACTCACTATACGAAACACAGCATCATTAAGCTAGTATTTTACGCTGATATTCTGTGAGAGCGTGGTCCTTCCCCGGTAATATAATTGCATGGTTCTACCACGTATAAACGACGTGCTTCATTTTTTTTTTCATTTTAAAATTGTTCTCGTAATAATCTGATTGTGAAAAAACGTATTTTTTTTTGATAAATAGCTTATTGATTAAAAATAAATGTTCAATAATAATTAAATCGCGCTAATTAAAATAGTAGGAATGTTTAAAGTTGAAATTGGCACTAAAAGGCTGGTAATTGGGGCATCCACCCTACAAAGCTTGAATATAAAATTTAAATCATATGCGTGTAATCACTCTGGGAGCTTGTAGCAAACTAAACGCGCGGCCAACGTGTGGACGCGGCGACCAAACTCCGCCAACAATCCTTTGGTCTTTTGTAAAAAACCGACACCACACGGATCTCGCGCCAACTTGCGGGCCATCGTTCCAATACATACCAATGAAGCCCAAACACCCCGTCTACACAGTTATGGCCAATGCTATTGGCCACTACATTCGCCACTGTGTTGGCCAATGTGTAGGGGCGCCGTGATACAAACGTCGAATTAAGTACCTATGTAATGGTATTAGGGATGCTCGATGTTACAGTAACATCGATGATGCATCGATGCTGATATCGATAGCTTAACATCGATGTTCGATGTTTGTCCTACTCAAAACATCGATGTTGGCCATTATCGATATTATAGCACATGTACCTATTTAGCAGGTTAAAATTAGATGAATAAAAATTTGTTGTATTGTTTATGGTTTATTATTAATGAAATTAAAGAAAATAAATAAAACATTTAGTGTGAAACATTAATTCGAAAAATGGGAAAAACTTAACAAATATTTAGTGAATTTGTTATATTTTTTGCCGATAATGGTATGCCGATGGTGGTAAATTATTATTTTGATATTTAAATGTTCCTATACAATTATAAATCTGGTATTAAAAATTTACTATCCTTATTTACAATTTAGACGTAGGTTTTATATTAACTAATCATATCTCGAAATAAAAAAAATGATTATAGAGGGAATTTTAACAAACTTCACAAAAACAAAATAATAGACTTTTCCGTCACCTTTGTTCACACAATTTTTAATCAAGCAACTCAAGGAGTAAGTATCCACAGCCATTTATAAAATTCACTGTAGAATGCACTATGCAGTGAAATTGTCTACGCTCATGATCGCCCAGTGATTTATTTTCATAAACTCCAAGCAAACAATAAACTTGTTATCCCAAACTCAAAAGAACACCTAAATATAATTAAATTGTGTTGATATACATAGTTTCAAAATTATGTGGGTATAGACATCAAGAAAAACAATTAATTTGAATATCAATTTATGTAGAATAGTTATTAGGCGACAACCGACAACGACACCACAATACCAAAGCGAAAGTAGTAACAACTGTAATATTACAGTTCATACTTAACAGGGAGTTTGACACAACATAATTATATTTTTTTAGGTGATCGATGCATTTAGGAATCCTTAATTATTCAAAATTTTAAAGCTTTAATGGATGAATATAGTGATATTATTTTGAGATGAAATATTTAGTTGATATTAATTTCGCGGGTTCGCGTGGTTCACGAGTTCTTATTAATCGATTATTGGTTCATTGACATCGATGTTTGACATGTGGCAATATCGATGTTTCGATGTTTAAGACATGTTAACATCGATGTTATAACATCGATGTTTTAATTTCTAGCATCGATGATCATCGAACATCCCTAAATGGTATATAATCTATGCTTAAATGGTAGCAACACTAAACACGCCATGTTTATTTCTTTTCTTTCCGTCATTTCGTTGCCGCGGTAAGAAATATCTTTAAGGTTATTTTTTATCTCGGCGTATGCGTTAATATTAATAGAAATAAACTCTTTTTGCACTTATACAATTGCTAATATTGAGTGTCAAAAATTTAGTCCTTTGAAGTTTGGGTTTTAGTGTATTCGAGCTAGTGGTAATCATTGCTAATAAGCAATACATCGTCTACGTCTAGCGGCGTTACTTGAAAATGGGTAAAAAAGTTAGAGAATATAAATCCGGCGACTTCATTTTCGCAAAAGTTAAGGGTTATCCAGCATGGCCCGCTCGAGTAAGTACCGATAAAATATATGATTAATAAAATATGTTATAATAAATCATGTTTATTGTTATATGCCTTTGCGCGGGAAGACATGATGCTTGACGCTATCCTTATGTACCTATTAGATAATTGATAATTTGAACACTTGTGTTGCAGTTTCAAGTAAATTGATTTATTTACATAAAGTTATTATTATTTTGTTTTTCATTCTAGTTTATTATAAAAGGTGATAATTTGATTACGTTATTATGTAAAGGGTACCTGTTCTTTATATCGACACCAATACTTTGGAAACCATAGCTAATTGTTATTTTCTAAATATTCTTCCAAGATGTATTTTTTTAATCAAACTTATAAATGGAAAGTTAAATTATTTTATCACTTTTTGTTTCTCGAGTCAATTATATATATAAGATTTCGCATTAATTGAGCTTTATAAGATAAGTGGAGCATTGTGTCCTGTTTACTTTATAAGTTTATAATTATAACCCATATTATGTTATATATTTACGCAAGGTAAGACTAGTCCCTTTGTAATATTATACATAGTGACTGTATTGAACCACAAAATTTCCAGATATTCTAAAGAAAAAATCTTCCATTTTAGCTTGTTATTTGGGCAGTACCGAAATGTTTTATGTAATTATGTTACATTCCACATTTACAATAATATCTAAAACTAAGTGTTGTTAAGTTCGAATAATAATAAAGAACCTATGACTTCTGTCAAAAATATGAAAGCACCTCTCAAACATATTTAGTAACAGAAAAATGAGGTGTCCGAAATACCCACTCTGCTCTTTCATTGTGCAGGATACTCAAGTAAAATCTTTACTTATTGCCATAACAAAAAACAGCTTTGTACCGAGGCGTCCATCGTCACCTCAGCTGGCGGATTTAAACCCGATAAGATTTTCGATAAGTAGAAACAATAACCATAACATATAAATGTTTATTTTATTTTGTACGCTCTTTGTTTCTAATGTTTTTTTTTATTTTTTATTTTTTTTTATGTCTTTACAATCAATACAACATATTCTTCCTAAATGAACCGAAATTATGCATGTAATAATTATACTAATTCTACTTTTTCACTTGCAAACATTTGCAAAAAATTCGACAATAGACAGTTTGTGCGCGCTTACTAAACTCATTTTCAAAACCTTTTTGTGTATATATTATATATTATCTTCATCTATTTTTCTTATACAATCGTATAGATATAACATTTAGCAATTACTAGTAAAAGTATTTACTATGGTATTCCAATAAGAAATATACTATTATTATCTTATTAGAAATCTTGACCGTTACGAATTGTTTGTGTAGAGGTTTTTTATTTCTACTTTTTTATCAATTGAAACATAAAAAAGTTACTGTTGTTGTAACTTAAATCATTCAAAAATATTACGTAGTAAAGATAAATAACATTACTTACAGTTTTTCTGAAAGAAAATCCAACTAAAATCACAATCACAAAACTTCAACGATTACGCAACCAACCGCACCGGCACGCAAAAGCGAATGGCTGTTATATTTGATGATGTCTATGTATCCGAGTGAATATAATGCTACAGAATATTCTTTAGTTTGTTCAGAATCGAATGAAATAGTGTTCAATCGAAAATATACTGTATTTTTATATCAATTAATGATGAAAATAGCAGCACGTAATGCGGACATGTATACATGTCCTCTGTACTTAGCGGTCACAAAACTTGGACCTGTCAACATGTCCACCGTATCTTAGGGGTTAAAATAGTATTTTATAAAAACATTAAATTCTTAATAATAAAGAATCATTTCATTGTGTTCGGCCATTTCTAGGAAATCGGTTAGCATACAAAGAAATGTGCTGAAAACAGCCCGTCATAAAAGTTGCTGAATATAAACTTTCCTTTTTTGAAGTTTTTTTAAAATAAATTTAACAAACTGATTTTTTGCATGCAGATGATAATTAAGGACAACTTTCGTATAATAATATGAAGGGAGAGAATAAATTAAATTTATAACTGATATATTGCATTGTTTACAGGTGCAAAGATTGAATGGGAAAAAATATTTTGTGTATTTCTATGGCACAGGGGAAACGTAAGTTCACCATCAAATTACTTCACCAAACTACTACATTACATGATTTGTGTAGATTTGACAATAAATAGGAGTTAAATTATTAGAGATGGGCCGAATATGAATTTCACCGAATACGAATATTCGACCGAAAGTTCAGTAAAACTTACCGAACCGAATATTATTTGGCAGGATCACCTCGGTACCTAATCAATTTATGTCGAAACTTGTTGTCGTAAAGCGCACGGGATTAGCGCCGGACCCTGCCCCCTGGCTCCCCCGCCACATCTGACTTGTTATTACATCATCTAGTGCTGAGGAAATTGCAGGCACAAGCTTATGTTTTGACTATTTTGGTGAGAAAAAAAGTATTTCCTTGTGTTATTCTTAGTGAAAATTGAGAATTATATGATAAAAATGAGTGGCAGGTGATTCTCCTATTTAAACTTATTTTAGAGAAACTAACAACCGAAGTAAAGTGATAAGTACTTATGTAATGAAATGTTTCTTTGTTTGATTCCAAATATATTTTATCAAACTTTATATTTGCTATAATTGGACATAAATCTACAGTGCCTCAAAAACATAATATTTCGAGTAGATTTAGCCCATAAATAAAATATACTTTTAACAGTAAAATTATGAAAGACATGGCTTTACACAATTCGTACATTTCAATACAGTGGACACTGAGTACCACTTAAACAAATGTTCGGTGGTTTAGCTGTATACTCGGCCAAATATGAAAATTTGGTAAAGCTGCCGAATATGCAGAATACTGAATATAAAACGAATATTCGGCCCATCTCTATAAATTAGAGATGAAACGGATATGGTGATTATCCGGTATTCGGCCTATCCGGCCGGATAGTAATTTTAGGCCGGATAGGCCGAATAATATATAGCTATCCGGCCGGATATCATATTTTAAAGAAACACAAAATTTCAAATTTAGTTAAGTACTTCATTTATGTCATTTAACAAATATAATCAGTAATCACAAAATTTTCATTTTAAAACTTCTATTAGTTAATATATAATAAAAAATATTCAAAATTAGTACTCGTACTGCGCTAAGGCACATAATAAATAATAGTACTACATAGCTAAGGACTAATTATGGTGAATAAATACTAATTTCTCTGCATTGAAAGTTAACAAGTGGTTTCGTCTGTCTTCATGATCGCGAACAGTTTACACTGACTTTACTTTTCGCTTCTTGTGATGCACCAAACGGCAATGTTCGGTCGAATATCCGGCGGCCGGATATCTGGCTATCCGGCGATAAGACTGGCCGAATATCCGGTATCCGGTTAAACAACTATCCGTTTCATTTCTACTATAAATTATATCTGCATGAAGAGTTTTACATAGTCATAATGTAAGGGTTACATTTGAGCACAGTACCTGATGGGAAGTTATTACTGTGGCCTATGGACACCCACATCCACTCCTGAAGGCTAAAGTGACAGCGCATTACCAGTAAATAGGGTTTGCAGTTCTTTTCACTAGGAACACAACAAATTAGAGGCTTTTTAATTCTGTTTAAGGATTAATAGGGATGGTTAAGTTAATCCCTTTGTAATCAATTTCACAGACAATCCACATCATAAATCTGCCACTTTAATGATATAAAAGAAAAAGGATTATAAACAAAAACAAAATGATTTTACTATCTGAGCCGATAATAGTGTAGTAATATAACATTTTTCATTCCAGGGCAAATCTCCCACCTAATATGATTTTTGACTATGCTGAAAACAAAGATAAGTTTCTTACAAAAACTGTAAAAAGGAGAGATTTTAATGATGGTGTTAAGCAGATTGAACATGATTTTGCAAACAATGTACCACTGGAGCAAGTTGTTGGAATTTCTGCCACAGTAAGTTTTCTCATAATAATAGTCCTAAATTTTATTCCGTGTGATAACACGACATGATCTTCAAGTGTATACGCAGTCAACTCTTGAGGACTTGCCTACCGCTGTTTCTACCATCAGTGCTAACTTGGCGGCTATTAGCGAATGGAGTAAGTGCCATGGGCATAAGGTTAATCCTTGTAAGTCTCAGGCCATTATTGTTGGCAGTGCTGGCATGATTTCAAGGCTTGACTGGAATAACTCTCCATTGGTGCGATTGAATGGTGTTTTAATACCCTACAGTACCACCATTCAAAACCTTGATGTCCACTTCGATGCTACTTTTTCGTGGTCTCATCAATTGAAGGAAGTTAGTAGAAAGACTTGCTGCTATGGGTTTGCTCAGGTGTTATGTTCTTTTCTTCCCATTCCTATTAAGATTATGTTAGCACAATCTTTACTCCTCTATTATCCATAATGCGGGCGCAAGCTATCTTTTTTTAACTAAAGATCAACTAAATAAACTTGAGCATATTCAAAATCTGGCTATTAGGTTCATATTTGGTTTGCGCAAATATGACCATGTCTCCAAATTTTGTTTAAAGCTCAAATGGTTACCCATTCACCTTCGCCGGAATCTACAAATTGTATCTCTTCTGTATTGTGTATTAATCAATCCGATGACTCCGAGCTATCTGAAAGAAAACTTTAAATTTCTTGGCTGTGACAGACCGGATAGAGTTCTATAGTCAGCCGAAGAACTTATACTCGCGCTGCATTATTATCGTACTAAATACTTTAGGAATTACTTCACAGTTAATACCATCTGCTTATGGAATGATCTGCCTCTGCAAATTCGTCAAGCGTATACACTAGATAAGTTTAAGACTGACGTCAAAAATCACTACCTAACTCTGCAGTAATCACTAGTCATCATTTGCGACATTTAATTTTTGTATCCTGTCTGTATTTATTTATGTAAATTTTATATATATTTGCCTATTTATTATCATGTTTTTATTGTATATATTAGTGTATAAAATATTTTGTTATTATGTATCAGTTTACTTTATTTATGTATTAGTATGTAAGTAAGTATAATATACACCACCTCCTAATGTCCTATAGTACAATTTACTCCTAGTCTTAAGGTTGTCTGGAGGAGATCGCTTTTTAGCGATAAGATCGCCTTATTGTACCTCTTAAATATTACTTTCTGTAATCAGTTTTTTTTTATAGTTTTGTGGTGTACAATAAAGTATATAATAATAATATATTAAGGTTATTATTTTCTCTTGTACTTTTGTTTGATATTTCCTCTACATTCCTGTCTGTTCAAATTTGCTCCTTACATGTAATAATATACATGTGCAAGTCTATATTACATATGTGGCTACCATAATGTTACCTGTATCCAGATTGTCACGCCCATCGGAGGTGACACTTACACATTTTGTTTGTTTAATTCAAATTTTATTTTACTTTAAAGTAAATATCATTTTATTTCTTATTTTTCTACAGACAGGTAAATAAAATATATATTTAAAATCTGTCTGCAGTTATCGGAAGACACAGCAGCCAATGACACATTAAATGAGTCTGCAGCAAATGATACAATAGATGACTCTGCTATAGGAGAGGCTGACACAACAGATGTCAATGATACTACCACTGAGGATGTAAGTTTAACCTATATAAGATGTTTATTTTGTTTATATATTTGTTATAAAGATAAAGAGCACTTGCTATAATATATATTTAGACATAGTATGATATTTAGAGAAAACAACTTTTGTGATAATTAAGGCAATAAAATAGAAGTCACTGATAACAAGCGATTTTAAAATTTGAGTAAACGTCATAAAAACAAAGCTAGTTAAATATGAAGCACCTATATTAGAGCATCAGGATGGGTTTTTCCCAGTTTTCAGGAGTCACTAAAAGAACCGGTTCCCAAAATTTAAAACACAGTTTTTTCGCTTCCTTCGGTTCCTTTACAATTTTTCAAATTTATTTATCAAAAAGTATATCATTGCAATGTAGTGTTACAAAAAAACATTATATCCAATCATTTCTGCTATTTATGGCAAACGGTATGATTTGTAATGATATTTTATTTAATTAAACTATCTGTAATCAATATCCATATTACATTTTTCTTACTACTAAATCTATTTATTTTATCATAAGTTAAGCTGATTTACGTTATGTAATAATAACACTATCCGTAAAGTTTATTCTATGATAGAATATTGTATTATTATAATAGATTAGAATTTCTATTCTATATTATTTTTATGTTGATTGACATTAAAATTTAAGTGATGTGAAATAACTGTTTATGTGCAATTGTAAAATTAATGTTACTAGTTATTATAATATAATACTAGTTACTATATATAATTATTTAAAAAAATACTTTATGTTAACCAAATAAAAAGAATTATGTATAATACTAGTTACTATATCATATAACCTAAAAGAACCGAAGGAAAGGGACCGGTTCTTGATGCCCTAAACTAGATACTTACCATCTATTACTGAGAAACCAAATTCCGTCATCAAAAATTCAACTAGGATATGCTCTGTTTATGACCTGCAATGTAAGATTTTCCAGTGGGTATCATGCTGCATTTGCATTATGTTTTTTCATTATGATAGAATAGAATGTAAGTAAGTAAGTATCATGTTTATCCAATATAGATTACTAGAATACTTATTGAAATCATTTTTTACTTTTATCATTTTAATATAACCAAAAATAATAACATTCCTACCTTACATGCTACAGTGATTGGATTTGATAAACTGGAGCACTGTATAAGATTTCTGTGCTTCTAAACAAGTCCATAGAGTAATTTAGTTTTTGCCAAAATTTTTGCCTTAAGTTATAGCAGAAGTTTGTCGAGAGATCTTACATTTAATAAAAAATAATTTTCGATACAAAAATTAAGCTCAATGTTCCATTGCTTGTAGCAAAGTTCTTCAAAAATATATGTTCTTAATGCCTAATGTTTGAAATGAATTATCTATATGTAAATGTATGTTTGATAAAAATGATATGCCTAAAAATCTTCACCATGTTATGAAATTGTAACTCAAATTTGTTATCAACTATGTGCTTATTTTTATGATTTTTGAAAAATTTTAGCCAGTGTAAAACTAGTATACAATATAAATTACTAAAAATTTGCATACTTTAAATTGTTTGCCCAGAGTTACTTGGGGCTGTTGCATATTCAGTGGAAAGGCAAAGAATAAGCCATAGTAAATTATCAAATTTGCTTTTCTTAAAGACCGATTTACACTTCGGCAAGTACAGTAGCGAGTTAACTTGCGAACCTGGCGAGTTAAGTTTGAACGACAATAAGCGAGTTAAGTAGCAAGTTAACGATTAAGTTGAACGGGATAGTCGGCCGAGTTATTTTTCGGCCAGTTAAGTGCGAAGTGTTGCCCTCCCGCGCGTCTGCCGCCACCCGCAACTAAACTCGCCGTTCGTGTAAACGAGCGAGTTTAGTTCAGTGCATAAGTTGACAGGACGCAACGTTTGCGCGCCAAAACGTACAATTGTACTTTTATAATTAAACTCGCCACAAAGTTTGTACGATACTGTTTATTGAATATTTATACGTTTTATACTGAGTTTTAATAATAAAATGATATCACGTATAAATTTGTACAGGAGTATTTAGAACACTAATTTTTATATAATAGTAGAAGTTCAAATTGTAAAATTAAACCTGGTCGAGATGCTGCACTCATAAAAATTCTTAAAAACTTCTTTATCAACAACCATTAATACTCCTCTGACTGGATCATATAATTCTTGACGTAATCCTAGAACCATCTTAAACTAAAACCAGAAAAATTCTGTAGTCTTGAAACATCATATTCCAACGAACTCTATGAACTAATGTCCTTAACTAAACTCGCCACGAAAACATTGTTTGAACGCTACTGTCCACTTAGCCGTTTACTGTCAACTGCCCTGTAACTAAACTCGCTACTGTACTTGTCGAAGTGTAAATCGGTCTTTAAATAAAATATAATTATTGTCTGCCTGGAAGAATATAAACACTAATATTTTTCCTCAGACCACTGCACAGAATGAGACTGGCGTGGATGATTCTGATGATACCGGTGGGCTGGTTATTGACGAGGGCAAGGTGATAATTGCAAATTAATTTCTATTAACACTGATTATGTACGCAATCAATTTTGATACTCTAAATTCAATTTTGATGTTCTAAATTACTATTTGAATTACATAGCAAATAATTCTCACCATTCATAAAAATTTTAGGTGGTAGGAGTCCGTTTCTGCCTCACACAATCAGCCTCATCATACCTATTCTTGCCGCCAAACAACATTTCGTGCACTGCTGTGTTCTGGTTAGAAGAGTAGAGCTAGGTAGTATAATTACAGGCTGTAAGGTATTCCATCTTAGTCTTCAGAGGTGACAATGCCTCATAGGCCTTTCTTATTTCAAGTTGGTGCGCTGAAGTCCACGGGCTGCAGTAACCTCTTACCTCAGGTTGTCTGTAAGCTCATTAGTCACTTCAATTTTATGTTAAAAAATACGGTTGTCCCTGCAGGCCATCCTTGCAACTTCCCGCTAATTTAAAATGCAAAGTGCTTCAAATTTCGCCTGTTATGGGTCTGTTACCTGTACATGTTCACGGTCAACCGATTTTGATGCGGTTTGCGGCAATCGACGCAGTGTTTTCAGCTTAACATAAGAGACGTATTACAAAAAAATTGATGTGACGGTAATTTTTGAAGTTATTTTGAACCTACAATTTCTACAATTTCTTTAGACAACTATATCTCTCGAACGAAGAAACCGATTTTGATGCGGTTCACGGCAATCGACGTCGTTTTGTTGAGTAGAAGAGCTGATTAGATTGGAGAATTGATCAAAACAAGGGTGTAGAAGTAATTCCTTAAAACAACTTAAAAAATTAAAGAAACTTGAATTTTTGAGGTTTTCTCAGAATCTACTATGACTATTCGGTTTAAATTCACAGGCAATGTAAGTTCAGCAAGGCTCTTCTAGGCCGCAAACCGCTTTTCGATCAGACACTCGGTTACATAGTTATAAGATGTTTACATGTTTACACACACACACACACACACACACATATACACAATACACATACACACACGGACATACGGACATCATCGCGAAAAAAGGCAGAATAGCTTCCTAGCACCTCGAAACGACAATATCTGATGAAAAAACAATAATTTCCCGATTTTTGAAAATCATTGATTTTCATAGCGGGAAGTTAAAAATGCTTAAATCTAATGGCATGTTAAATTACCTAACACGCCATGAAAAAATAATTTCATTAAACTATATTTAATATTCTGTGTACTTTTTATGTTCTACTGAATAGTATTACAATTTAAAAATATCTCTTATCAGAAGGGTCGCAAGTCCACGCCAAAAGTACCTTCAACTCCTGCCAAACCTGCGAAAGAGCCTAGGACACCACGTGGAAAGGCAAAGAAGGAAGAAGCCAAGGAAGAGGAAGAAGAGAAGAAAGAAGAAGAGATAATCAGTAGGAGCGGTAGGAAAATACGACCGAAGAGGTAATTATATGATGTTCTTCTAGCTGATTCCGTACTGCATTCCTCTGAACACTTGTAGAAGCGACCAACTTTTTTTTAGAATAAGGGTGACAAACGAGCACAAAGTCCGCCTGATGGTAAGTGGTTGCTGTGGTCCATAGACATCTACATCTATCCTGGATTACGAATCTAAATGCAGATGCGTTGTCACCCATGAGGACTAAGATGGAACACCTCGTTTCCAGTTAAAAGGGTCTCCGGTTCTCTACACTCACCGTACAAAACACAGCAGTATTAAGCTACTATTTTATGGTATTCTGTGAGAGCATGGTCCTTCTCCGGTCGAGCAGATCATTTGAGCTACAAACATAATATAGTTGTAGCATGGCTCTATAACATATGAACTACCTCGTAGAATCAATCATGCTACCTTTGGCGAATGTAACACTTATGATTGTCAGAGAACACAGGAATATTCACAATGGGACCCAACAACCAACATTTTATGTGTTTGTACAAATGGTGAGATCATCTTTGTCTAGGTTACATAATCGTTATTAACAATGTATTAACGATTCGATTCGATTAATATTCATCTACATCAACCTGTAAAAATCCGCTATTGGGTATGGGCCTTTCCCCTTGTTGGAAGGATTTGCCTCAATGTCTGTCTTCATAATCTTCCGCTCACCAGATGTCACTAATTGGGGACTGAGGTAAAGTTTTTTGTCAGTTTATTGAGAAATTTGTTTCAAGTAGATGTTTATCTGTTTCTAGAGTATTATAATTCATAATGGGATTATCTAGCTTTATATATTATCTTTTTCACAAGTCCACTGCTGAACATTGGCCTCCCCCAAGGTCTGATACAAAGCACGGTCCTGAGCCACCTGCATCCATCGACTTCCTGCATGTGTTACCAAGTCGTCACTCCATCTAGTGGCGGGTCGCCTTACACTTCGCCTACCGGTACGAGGCTGCCACTCGAGAACCTTTTTTTCCCAACAGTTGTCAGTTCTTTAGTTGTTAATTATTTAGTAATAACATATGACGATAAACAATAACAGGGCCGATGCAGATGCAAAGGTAAAACCTTTTGCTAACATCATAAACGGAGCGAAGTAAAAGTCTAAAGTCATAACTATCTTTATTTCAACAAAAAATTCAGTCAAATGGTGTGACATTGTGCAGATGTAAATTAGCGAATTGATTAGATAGTAAAAGACAAAAATAATTCAGATTTTTATAGTTCACAATTTTTGCCTGCGTTGAGCTACAAATATTGCCGAAAAAATTATGAAAATTGGCCTACAGGTTATGGAGGAGATAGATTTCAAAGAATCGTTTTCTTGTGCCGTGCTCCAAAAATGAAGCAATCAGAGCTTTAATCAACTACATAGTAAAAAAAAACGTAGAGGAGGCGTCAACGTATATTATTTTTTTTTTTTTTTTTTATTAATTTTTTTTTTTTATTTTTTTTTTTTTTTTTTTATTTTATTTTTTTTTTTTTTTTTTTTTTTATATTAAAAAAAAAAAAATAAAAAATTAAACAAAAAAAAAAAAAGGGTTGATTGATCAAAGTAACACCATGTCCTTTGATCTTAATTATATGAAGTTGAAGCAACCCTACCCTTACCCACCCTTAGTGCTTGCTTACATTTTAATTATTTTTTTTAATTCTAGAGTCTGGAGGATAGAAATTTACAGTGACGTGATATGTATAGTGTTGCCAGTGGGAGCTGGTAAAGGTTGGGACACCAGTAAAATCTTTTCCCCACAAAATACACAAAAAAAATACTTTGCTCTTTAATTTTATGATTCTTTTTTTTTAAATCTACTTTTATAGATATTCTTAGATTGGTTTATTCGTTTCTAATCTGATTACTATAAAATGTAACTAATATTTCAGAAAGAACAATTAATCTTTACACTTTTCTAAAAAACAATTTTCCCTGCTATGAAATCTGTCAAATATTCATTAAAAATGGCGCCGCCCTGGTGGCAGAAAAAGCCGTGGTCTCATTGACGCTGTTGTCCATCACTTAGTATTAATTTTAATTATGCATTAAGTTACATCACTGATATTTTAGTAATAGTGATGTACCGTGTGGTGATGTCGTTAGATTATCTATCACCACCTTCGATCAACAATACCAACTAGATGTCGGGTCGGCGCAAGAAATCCATCTAAGTAAATAACAGCGCACATGAGACGTGAGCTATTATTTCGTTTAGTTCACAGCCAATGTATGTTTCACAATGCCGCAATGTGTATTTAAAAATTGCAAGAATAATGCCTGAAAAAGTAATTTAACGGCCGGAGTGTCATACTTTCGGTAATTACATGTATAATAATATGTCATATTTTAAGCTCTAAACTAAAAAATAAAAATATTTGAAACAAAATTACCAATCATAACCACCCCTACAAATGTTTAGCCAATGTTTACACGCAATACACGCGCAAACATTTGTGAAACAGAACATAGACGCATGAAGTAGATTTGTATTGCTACTTTTGTCTTTGTTTGTGTAAATCCAATAGATACTTAGATTCTTTTTAGCTTTCCTAGCTTTCTTCCCCGGTCGAGCCGACCCATTAGTGCTACAACTATACTAAATATAATTGCAGCATTGCTCTACCACGATTTACAAGTATGCAATGAGTTAGCATATTGCTGCCTGACAGCAATTCTTCCAGACAACCAATTAATGGACAGGATTACATGAAGATGACAGGAGTAGGGCAAATTGGTGTGATAAAAAAGAATACACATATTTATATATATATACTATACATAAATACATACATTACTACGAACATATATACATACAAAAACTAAAATAGATGTATATTGAATTAGTTAATTAAATACAATCAGTATACTACATACTATATTATATTTAATGGCTAATGTGGAAAGTATGTATACCAACAATCATAATTGCCCAAAACATAAAAATAATTTTAATTAAAGTTATGATCAATTATAAATTATTTTAGTGTTCAACGCGACTCTATACTTCCTGGACCAAATTCGAAGAAGAAAACAGAAACATAACAAAATGACGTAGCTCGCAAGGCAATAACGGGAAAAAGAACTTTATTTGTTACACGTTGAGGTTGATTTTACACTAAAGGTTATTTAATTTATGTCTTTTTCATTTCCAAGTGATAGGAGTATTGTATAGCTTTGTTCTTTTTTTGTGACTAATGATCGTAAGATTTGTGACTTTATTACTAGTTGCGATGTTTGTAATTAGGTTGAACTTAAAACAATTTTAATTTTTTGTCTCATTTCTTTAGTAAACAAATGTAGCTGTTTAAGTTTATATTTACGTGGACAGCTATGATTTTGTACGTGACCCGTTTTCTAGTTAGTATTGTTGATCGAAGATCACCACAATACCCATATAAAGTAATTGGAGAGAGGCCCATGAAGTAGACCTATGTTAACACTTAACAAAGCTAAGATACATTTTACAGGGACAAGAAGAACATTTTACAGGGTTAAATGCAGCTATAATTTTGTATCTTATATTTTGTAGTTTATATTGCTTTTATGTATTTATTTTCGTAACTAATGGGTTTCCTTATTAACATTGATTTTAGAGACAGAAATCCATGTTTACACGAAATCCAGACATTATAATATAGCGTCACTTGCCGAAATGTGATCTTGAAGTCCAAAATTACATTTGCGATTTTGACGTACAGTAAAATTGGTATTTATTATTTATAAGATACATGCTTATAAGCTAACAGATGGTAGCATCCAACACGCTTGTAACATTAGATACATTATGGGGGGTATATTTAGTAGACTTACCATACTTTCTGTAATGGGTTAATTGGTAGGCAGTGTAAGACTTAAATCATAGCCAATTTTTAACTACCCGCTTTGTAGAAAGAATATTTCGGCCCGATTTTGAAAATGCGTTTTTTTGTATGTATGTAAATAAAATTGTGTTGTACGATATCTTTAGAAACGAATCAACTGATCGTTCGAAAGTTTTCATAGAGATTTCGAGCCGAGTAGACTTTCATATCAATTGGTAGAGCCGATTTTCATAAAAAATATTCATTAGTTTTTTTTAATTCAAAATATTTGATTAATCAACTCCAGACATCAGAAATACTTTGTTGTACTTAAAAAACCATCGAATGCTACCAAAATCTGACGATGCGTTCAAAAATTGCTATTTAAAAATTTCGAAGTAATCGTTTTTTGAGATAATTTTTAAATTATTCGATCCATTATTGACTCAAGACCTTTTTTGTACCATTTTTGTACTTAAGAAAAATAAACAAAGTTATATTTTTTCAACTATTAATTTTTTTTGTTCCTCTCAATCTAAATTATATGTATGTTCATTTGTAGTCAATAATGTTAGTTATACTATTGAATTATATTGTTAAGTTCATTTTATTTTTATGAATGAAGTAAACTGTTTGCTGATCTAAATAAAAAAATCACAGGTATTTAGATGAACAGACAGAAGAAAATTCAACTTTACCATCACCGGCACCAAAGAAACGTCGCGGTGCATCACCGACAGCATCCACTGACAAAGAAAAGGAGAAAGAAAAGGAAAAGTCTGAGGCAGGAGCAGTTAAGGATAAAACTGAGAAGTATAAACATTTCAATGGTGTTACACAGGTAATTATTGTTTGTTCAAGTGGAGTGACAAACAAACATTACAGTCCACCTGTTTATAAGTGGCGACTGCTAAGATGGAATGTTTCGCAGCCTGTAGTTATACTTGCTCAATATCTTCCGGACCGCAACACAAATATGCAAACGTTGCTATTTGGTGACAGCAATAGGTACAGAGGTGGTGCTTGCCCTGACTCCTAGGCAGAAATGGAGACGCGCGCACGCGCACAGCACCACGCACACACAAACACGCACACACGCACATGCACACGCACACATGCACACGCGAAATGAACGCACACACACATGCACACGCACGCGCGCCACACACACGAGCGCACACACACACACACACACACTATATACAGTGTGTAAGTGTAAACACCGTTGTCACTGAAACCATAGGTAGTTGGCTTTAATATAAAAATATTTATCCGATTTAAAAAGAAAAACGCTATTTTATTTCATAAAATAAAATAGTTTCTGTCCGACACCGTCCGTAAATTCATGGACACCCTATGCGCCCAAGTGACGTAATCACTGTAAAGATCACCGCCCGGCCTTGATATCTACACAACATTTCAATAAAAACACAATGGTACACATAACCTATGATGTAACTTTTCCTTCATACTTTCACACTGGCTTAGTCAGTCAGACAGTCAAAAATTCCTACCCTTTGTGTTGCGTGACGAGTCCAAATTAATGTAAGTTAGATTTAACAACAAAGAAAATTAAACATTAATAATAGTAAATCATTAGGTAGGATTTTTGGCGTATTTAAAAGATTAATCATAATGTTATGCACACATGGGTACACAATAAACTATGCAAAACCAAAGGGTAGCTCGCCGTCCAATCAAGGACCCGGGGTCCCGGGACTGTCTTAGCAGGATACCGCGGCAACGCAACGCGGAACGCAAAGGGCATTTGAAGCATAAGCTGACCGTTCATTGTACGGAAAGATCATACAAAGCGAGGCCAAGACAAACTGGTTTTGTTAGCTTGATGTGTAGCCTGATTGATTGATTATTAACACTTACCTATTAAATAAAATCCTCGTAAATGAATCCCATTTTGATCAGCTTTTACATTAATCGTAAAAGCTGTTCAAAATGGGATCCATTTACAGCCACGCATGGCTCCGCATGTTTCCGTAGATTGTTACGCACTCTAGGAAGCACAACAGTGTCATTTTTAAAGTCTCGAAACACACTAAGAATTCGCCTTTTGAGTTCCGACGTATTACGGAACTTAGTTGCATACACTCGGCGCTTCACTTCTCCCTAAAGATAGAAGTCCAGCGGGGTAAGGTCGGGCGAACGCGCTGGCCACGCCACTGACCCTCCACGTCCTATCCATCGCCCAGGAAACTCCTCATCCAGCATAGCCCTTATTTGCAGCTGAAAATGTGCAGGGGCACCGTCATTTTGGTAGTAGAGGTTTCTCAGTGAACGAAGAGGCACATTTTCCAACATCCTGTCGAATACATGTCGTAAAATAGCCATGTACGACTGTGCATTCAAGTGGCCGTCAAAATAGGGTCCAAGAAGTTTGCCGTCTAGAATTTCCGCCCACACGTTTACGGAAAAACGGTGCTGATAACTGTTTTGCCGTATTCGGTGTTCGTTTACCCGACTCCAGTAATGTTCATTACGAACATTCTGTTCGTAATACTTGCCCGACCTTGTAAAATGCTTCGTCCGTAAATAAAATGGAAACGTTATCAAAGTTTTGAATAAGCCATTGCGAAAATACCACCCGCAGTGTGTGGTCGTTTTCATTTAACTCTTGAACCGACTGAAAATGCTACGGATGTTGACGATCAATGTGGTAGAATTTTCCAAATTGCCGAGTGAGAAACACCGAAAATACAGGCCGCCCGCCTGGTATTCTCTGGGTTCTCCGCGAAGAAATACAAGATATGTTCTTGAAGGGTAACTGGCAGCTGCTGGTTACCACGCCACTGAGCATGAACCGGCACGGTAAACTGTCCATAACTACGTAACCTTAGCGTGGCCGTCAACAAAGTTTCACGATTTGGCACAGGTTGTTCAGGGAATAGTTCTGCGTACATTCGTCGAACCTCGTTCACATTGTCACTAGCTACGGCATAAAGTCGGACCATTTCGGTTCACTGCACGTTTGTGTTTGACATAATTACAAACTAAAACACACTCCGCACACACAAACGCCGCTTGCCGCGCGATATTGAATATCGGCACGGCGCGCGGCGCGGGGGGGGGGTTTAAATCAAATTTAAACGTGCACTCGCTAGACACTCGCTAGACCGACTGACACACTGAAACTGTGACGCTATGGACTGTAGGCTGATGGACTTGACCGCTTAGCTGCGCGCGAGATCGCGCTACGATATGTTGATTGGAATTTTGTATATGCCTAGGGTGAAATAATTGTAAGTAAAAATTGAGATTTGACAAAAAAAATGTTGTTATTTTTCATTGAATTTACGTTCTATAAGTGAAACCAAACCACTGGTTTCAAGGAGGATCCAATTGTGAATCTAAAGTCTAAACCATCTAGGGGCCCACTGAAACTCATACGAAAAATTTCATCCAAATTGTTCGAGCCGTTTCCCAGCTTTTAGCGAGACTAACGGCCAGCAATTGTTTTTTTTTTATATAAGCTGTAATATTTTATATAATTAGTTGATTAAAGTCTGATGTACACTTACTTTGCTTTGTACTCAGTAGTACACAATTTATTTATTTTTTATTTCAGATGGAACTTGAAGATTTAAAAGAACCATTCACCCAAGGTAAGCAATTTTTTATTTATTATAAATTTAAATATTACTAACCACTCGGGTCATTCGACATCATAAGGGAATCTAAGATTCTGTATCATCTAGTAAATTTCGTAAGTCAATAAAACGAAATTCTAGAAACACTTTGAGACCTCCAATAGATAGATGGTGCCGGAAACTCACATGCTATTGGCTCTCGGCATATTTGCAATATTTTAAGTACTGTACTTTAGACAATATGGCCCCCACTAGATGGAATGACGTCCTGATAAGAGATGCAAGGAGTCGATAGAAACAAGTGGCTCAGGACCGTGCTTTGTTGCATTCCCTAGGGGGGAAGCCTATGTTTATCTGTGGATTTGTGATGGGCTGCAATAATGATGATGACGAAGTCTTCATGGTTAAATAATGAAAAGTAAATAAATCAATATAATTTAGACACTATTGATGTAGTTCCAGCTTTAAATTACTTTAATAATCTAAGTTTTATACATTTTTTTATGGCATAACAACTGCATGTTTTTTCTCTTCTTTCTTTCTTGATATTTGGAGTTTAAGATTTGCATAAACCTTTTCTGTCAACCACTTAAGCGCACATGTCACAATTGTGCTTTAACATTTTTCTAAATTGAACCAAGTATTTGACAAATTACTCGATAGTACAAACATAAAACCCAGTAATACTCAGTACTCGGTTACTCCTTAAAACAATCACGCAGCGCATCACTAGCGTTAACCATAGTAAGGAAGCTGATGAAGATAGAAAGCGTCTAAGATTTGCAACATCTGGTATTGCGATCTTAAATAGACCTCCCAAAGGTAACGATTATGGTTGTGACCTTGTATAAAAACATCCCATATAAGGCCTTTCATTGAGAAAGCTGTCTATTAGTGAACTTTATGCTGCTTGATGTTATAATGTTTATTTGTATTTTTATATATTTAAAAATCTTTCTAATAATTTTAACCAAATTACAGCATAGCGGTTTTTTGGATAAAGAAAAAAAATCTGACGAAAGTACCAACCTTCAAAATTTTTTGTTTAAAATATATTTTTTAGTTTTTGTATTATGTTTTAATCATTTAACATAAAACTCAAGTCTATGTTAATTTATTCGTCTATTTTGTCTGTTAGTCAAACCACTTCTAAATCTTGGTACCATGGAGTAAAAACTAAAGAGGATCATGGTGTGACAAATTTTGTCCATATAATGTACACCTCGGCGTGTTAGCGGCTGGTTGAAACAGTAGTATTTTTTTAATTATTTAATCATGAGAAAGATGCTGCTGACACCCACGGGTTAGTGAATATTCTTATGCCGTAACTACACTGCCTCATACCGGTAAAAAGTGTAGGTGACTTCCCACTAGATGGAGTAACGGCTTAGTAAGACATGAAGGAAGTCAGTTTAATAGATGGTAGGACTCCATTTGCCGCCTAGAAGCATAGTAAAAACAGAATAGTAGGATAACTCCCGCGCCTCGCGAGACAACCCCTCAATATGCACACGGTCGGATCCGACCACGGATATTGTCAAATCGGTCGGATCCGACCACACCCATCCACAGTACTTTAAACCATAAAAACTTATATTTAGAGACTACTTCTCTATAAAGAAGATTGGTTTTATGGGCTCCATGTGAAATTTTCTGTCCTTTAATGCAATAATAAGCTTAGTTAGTATATGGTATTTATAATCTACGTTCATTTCGTACGACTGTTATGTGTGGCGTGTTATTGTGTTGATTTTTGGATTTTTCTAGTGTATTATTAGTGTTTAGTAGAGTTTTTTGATATAAAATTGTTATAATAGCTTTTGTGTGAAAATAATTCATCTTTTTACATAAGTAATTTCGAGTACGAGGGTGGATTGAAAAGTACTCGGCCTAACCAAGAAAATAAACACATACTAAATCAGTTATATTTTTATTTTTCTACATAATCACCATCAAGTTCAATACACTTTTGCCACCTCCCCTTCCAAGCATTTAGACCGTTGAAAAAAAATGATTCTTCCTTAGAGTCAAAATATGCGTCTACAGCTGCTTTGACCTCGTCGTTTGTCGAAAATCTTTGACCTCCCAAGTGCTGTTTTAGGTTAGGGAACAGAAAGAAGTCTGATGGTGCCAGATCAGGTGAATACGGCGGATGCGGTAACAGTTCAAAGCCACAGTTGTGAATTTCAGCCATTGACTGTACTGACGTGTGAACACGGGCGTTATCTTGATGAAACAGGACTTTTCTTCTGAGCATTCCTCGACGTTTTTCTTTTATTTCCTCTCGTAAACGACGTAGTAAGGTGCAGTAGTAATCAGAGTTTATAGTCTCACCCCTTTCAAGATAATCAATCATAATCACACCTTTCGAGTCCCAGAATACTGAAGCCATCATACCTTATTTGCCGACAAAATCGACTTAGCCTTTTTTAGGAGGTGGTGAACCAGGTCTTCTCCACTGTTTTGATTGTTGTTTTGTTTCCGGTGTACAGTAATGAACCCATGTTTCGTCCATAGTAACAAAACGATTCAAAAAATCATCTGCATCGGCTTCAAATAACTCCAAACAGTCGCGTGAAATAGTCAATCGCGTCCTTTTTTGTTCAACTGAAAGCAGTCGCGGAACCCACCTCGCAGACACCTTGTGGAAACCCAACTCGTTGACAATGATGTTTTGAGTTCGTTCATAAGAGATGCCTATAATCTCGGCTATCTCTCTAATTTTTAATCTGCGGTCTCCCATTATTAAATCAAGTACTTTTTTAATATTTTCGTCAGTAGTTGACGTCGAAGGCCTTCCAGAGCGGGGTTTATCTTTCACACTCTCTCTACCACGCTTAAATTCTGCTATCCATTTTTTGACGGATGAATATGACGGAGCACAATCGCCTAATGTACTGACCATGTCATCATGGATGGCTTTTGATGATAGCCCCTTCTTATGGAGGTACTTAATGACGGCACGCTGCTCGATTTGCTCCATTCGCGGAAATTATGTCCGATTACTTTGTTAATAAATTTATAAAATCACAACTAATTATCGCACAAGTTTCGAACTTCACACAATGAACTAGTCTGAACTGAACTAAATAATGTGGGTAGATTTGATTTTTAGAATTGAATGGATCTGTGTTAGGCCGAGTACTTTTCAATCCACCCAGGTAATATATAGAAATAATTGTGATATTCACGTTGCTGTCCTGCGCTGGATATGTACATTTTTTACTATGAAAATACAATTAAAATCTATTTGTAATGAAGTAAAATCACTAAAACAAGTAATATAACATAATTAATAAACAGAAACAAGTATTATATTGAAATTTATAATGAATTTTATTGAAAATAAATGTACGACAAATTCCATGTTAGGTTATTTTTTAGCGACGCCGCGTCACGCGAAGCGCGCGGGTGTTAAATGCCTACACTTACAGGGTTGTCACTGTCTTTTTGTTTAACAGCTAAGTCTCATTTAGTTTACCTTTTGTTTACCTATGCATATATTCGTTAATCATGTCTAGTTTCCTCTCGAAGAATCAATATTTGTCAAAAAAATCCAGCTTTACATTACAACAAATGCCAAATAACTAAAATACGAGTAAATTAACACTGAGCATATATATGGTGTCAGCTCAGATAAAATTAATTTGATCTCATGATACGACAACTAATGTATTTATGAGGTATGTATCTACGTATAGATATAGTAATATAAACAATTAATAAAAAGCTAATTTACTTAAATAAACGCATATATTAATTTATTTCACAAAAAGAGAAAATAAAACGAAAAAAGGACTGCTAGCAAAGTTTTTTTTTTTTAATTTAACAGTCTCTAACAAAGGTGATTGCGGAGCGCAGCGCTGGGCGTCCACGACTCGGACCGTTCTTCCAGACTGAGGAAGTGTCGTTGTGTGCGTGTTGTGGCTCGTGCGTACGAGTCTGTAGTGGCTCGAGCCAGGCACGCACACATATTAGCGACGTTCGGTACATTTCTTAGAAGATAGCCTACTATACTGTTTTTACTATGCTAGAAGGCCCTCTAGTTTCTGACATGTTAGAATGCAGGTGACTCAGGAACGTGTTTTGTGGAAATCTTTTCCAGATATATGTTCAGTAGTGGACTGCATCTTCACTTTGTTTTTGCTATGGACTACTAACCTATTGGACTTATTGATTATAAGGTGCGTTGGGGCAATACCGGACGGATTTTCGACTAGTTAAAAGAGCCTGGCAAAAACTTTATTTTATCGACATCCATATACGTTAGATTTCTGAAACATGGCGCAAATCGTTAATGGTTACACGTAATTTAGCTATAAGAAGCTTTTATTTTTCAAAACTCAACAGTTTCTGCTTAAAACGTGTGCGAAGACAAGGCATAATTTTTTATATGCATGATGAAGAATTGGCCATCAAGGGGAAGACCGGACGTCGCTAAAAATCGCAAATAAAAGTGATAGGGAAAGACCGGACAGACGAAAAATTTCAAAAATTACCTTGTTTTATAAAATACTGCGCAGCACACGCCCTACTTTTCGGAGCGACTGGCTGAAACTTGGGGTCGGGGCAGAATAAAATGGAGTCTTGTACCATATTGCTAGCTTTCAAAAATATAGCATAATTCACCGGAAATTTGAATTTTACGGTCTTACCCCATCACCGATCTTACCCCAATGCACTATATATATTATTATAATAATATACTGATATAAACGTTTGTATGCCTTGGTATAATGCACTGAAATGATTTTGGAAAGTCAGTCCCGCTGCTAATCTGCAGGTGGACTCACTTGGATTCTCAGCACATGAAAGAATTTCTTTAATAATTACTTAATGCTTATTTAGAGAAATGAAGAACATTGCAAAAAATATATAATATCGAATAAATTCGCTTTTATTTAAAGTTATTTAAACATAAGTTATATTTTGCTCTTTTAATACAAATATACTAAGTGCTTGTCCAGACTGGAAACGGGGGCGCGGGTATGGGCGCGACGTGACTGTTCGCAGTA